ATGTTTTTTTATGTAAACCTCATAATCACTGAGAAAAATGTCCAGGAATGAAATTGCTAGATTTTAGAATAATTGCATATTTAGTTTTTTATATTATATTATATTTTTAAGTACTAAATTTTCCATTTGTTCTTTATGTCTTCCATTTCTGTTCAGAGACTTCCCTTTCATTGCTAAGACTTTCTATTTTTCCATTTGTTATAAGCATGTTTGCTATTGTCTGTCAAAACTTTTTATGACGACTGCTTTAAAATCTTTTTTTAGATAATTCTAAACTCCCTGTCACATTTATTTTTGTCCGTTTTCCATTCATTTTGAGATCTTCCTGATTGTTGTTGTGACAAGTGATTTTTACTAAACCTAGGACATTTGGACCAGTATTTTATGAGACTCAGGATCTTATATAAACCTTATATTTTAGCTGGCTTTCTTTGCCAACACTTCATCAGGGAAGGAGAGGCACTGTGTCATTACTGCCAAATAGGAGCAGAAATCCAGACTCCTTCTTGGCCTTTCTTGACCACCAAGGAGTGGGGATCTTGTTAATGCTGGGTAGGGTGGGAGTTTCCACTCCCCATTAGGCACCCAATAATATCTCTCTGACTAGCTGGGGTAAGAGTGGTCTTCTGCCAACACCCCAAGGACTATGGTCTCGTTACAGTGGGGTAATAGTAAACATCTGACTCTCCACTGGGACTCCTTTGACATTAACCCAATGGGGCATGTAAGGGTATTTCATTATTGCCAGGTGAGAGTAGAAGTACAGAATCCCCTTTCAGCCTTCTCTGAAATCATCCCATAAACGGAGATTGGGATACCTTCTTACAGCCAGACCAAGGAAGGCAATTTGGCCATCCACTCAGTCTTTGCTGGCCTGCGTGGGGATGAAGTCACACTTTATTTTGTGTTGTTAAACTAGAGTAGTACAACTATTATGTAAGTTTTCTGTTTTACTAAGCTCTCCTTTCCTAGTCTTTTGGCTTGAGAGGGCAAGCTTTATCATCATACATCCATTCATTCATTTATATCTGTGCCCATTGATATTTGAGTTAACTTCTTCAGCTCTAAATCTGGGATATATAAGACAAAAAGAAAACCCAGGGAACTCACCACAATATCATTCATGAGGTCTCAAATTTCCTAGCTTGTTGAACCCTATCTCCATCTTTTTAAATTTATTTTATATTTTATTTTATATATAACATTCAGGGATTTTGTTGTTGTTGTTGTTGTTGTACTTAGCGGGAAGAATAGGCAAAACTCTATCTACTCAGTCTTCCCAGGAATGATTTCAGGTCACTTATTTTTACTACAAAGAAGAATATCAATTTTTTTCTTTTTCCATACTTGTTTACATCCCTTCTCTTTCCTTCCTTCTCCTTCCATTCCTTTCTTTGCCCTTGTCTCTTCTCTTCACCCTTGACAATTTTTGCCTTGACTCCTTGTTCTTTCTTTCCTTCTCTTCTTGTCCTTCTCTTCTCATTTTCCTCTGTTTCAATTCCTTTTTTTTTTTAACCTTTTGACCTCCTTCACCCATTTCTCTCACCCCCAAGTCTCCATGTCTGGCAACCACTAATCTGTTTTCTGTATCTATGATACCTATGAGAGGTTGCCTTTTTTTTCCCCCCCCCGATATGATATCCATTCACAATTTCTTTATGCATTCATCCATCAATGGACACTTAGACTGTTTCCATGTTTTGACTATTGTAAATAATGCTGCCATGAGCATGAAGGCACCTATATCTTTTTGAGTTAGTGTTTTCATTTTCTTGCATAAGTACCCAATAGTGGAATTGCTGGATCAAATGGTGATTCCATTTTTAGTTTATTGAGGAATCTCCACAGTGTTTTACATAGGGTCTATACCAATTTACATTCCCACCAGCAGTGCACAAGTGTTCTTTTTGTTCCACATCCTCATCAACACTAGTTATTTCTTATCTTTTAGATGTAGCCATTCTAATAGGTGTGAGGTGATATCTCTATTATAGAATTGATTTGCATTTCCTTGATTATTGAACAGCTTTTCAGGTACCAGTTGGCCATCTCTATATTCATATCTTCTGTCCATTTTTTGATGAGATTGTTTTTTTACTGTTGAGTTATAGGAGTGATTTTATATATATATATATATATATAGAGAGAGAGAGAGAGAGAGAGAGAGAGAGAGAGATTTACTTGAAAGGGAGAAGGCAGGGGAAGATGAAGAGAGAGAATCTCAAGCAGACTCCGCACTGAGCACAGAGACTGATGTGGGGTTCAATCTCATAACCTGATCATGACCTGAGCTGAAATAGAGACTTGGACACTTAACCAGCTGAGCCAGCCAGGTATTCCTTTATATATTTTAGTTTAGTTTAGTTTAGTTTAGTTTAATTAACATACAATGTATTATTTGCTTCAGGGGTACAGGTCTGTGAATCATCAGTCTTACACAATTCACAGCACTCACCATAACACATACTGTCCTCAATGTCTATAATCCAGCCACCCTCTTTAAATATTTTAGATGTTAGCCCCTTATCAGATATATGTTTTGTAAATATTTTCTCCTATTCTTCTATTCAGAAGATTGTCTTTTCATTTGGTTGATGATTTCCTTTGCTATGCAGAAGATTTTAGCTTGATATAATCCCATTTGTTTAATTTTGCTTTTGTCGCTCTATGGTTACTTTTTAATAAAAAAAATTAATGTTGCTATGTTTAATTGCAAATCTTATATGTTTCATAGCAAACTTTCCAATGAGTTTAATTTATCTTTAAATTTTCTCAGCTATTTTTTTCTACACTTTTCAGGCAGTACATTGGAAAACTATAAGCAGTATCTTCATTGCTTACCATTCACATTTGAAAGAGTTGGATTTTCCTAGACCTGTCATTTTCTGAGGACTCTTTGGGCAATGTGGAACAGTAATGACCTTCCTCAAAGATTTGCTTAACTCAAGGTTCTCCTGCCTTTGTTTTACAAGGACAGAAAAGTTTCCATTGAATGTGCCATAATTGTGTGGTTGAATTTTCCCTGCCTCTCTGGACCTAAAGATGTTCAAGAGTTCTACTACCAGTTCCATGTTCCTCAGCTTCATTCATACGCCTCTTCCACCAAGGCCCTTGTCTTCCCAGGTGAATCCCTCACTTTTTAGAATGTGTATTCCTGGCACTTTGAGACCTGACACTTCTGAAGCTCTGGTCACTCTCTATCCCTTCACTCTTCACATTCTCCAGGGCTGTTGGCTTGTTGGTTTTCAGCCCTGTTCCTAGCAACCCCCACTCAGATTGGTACCCTCTCCTTCATGGGTATGCATCTCTCCTGGCTGTTTCTGAAATCTGCCACCTCTGGGATCCCTCAACATTGATTTTTCTTCCCCACTTCTCCTACCACCTCTCCCTACACTGCTTCCTGCAGCAAACCCCTCTCCCTGCACTATTTGCTCTTGATCTTAATTATTTTTATTAACATGAACACATTATTTGGGGATTTCTCAGTTTTCTTTTTCAACTACTTTCATTGACACGGACATTTGAGAAACTCATTTAGTTACTCATTTCACTCTCTGTAGTTCTAATAAGAACACTAAAGAGAGTTAGCCCTAAACCATAATCATACTAGAAGTCTGATGATCATATTCCACATTACCAACATGTGAACACTATAGAAATTTTGGAAAGTAAGAAAAAAATGTCAAAACAAAATGATTCACAATCCTACCATGCATAAGTAATCAAGGTCTACCTGTTGATGTATTTCCTTACAGTCTTTTCTATCACATATTATATAAATGAAGTTCATTGTACATACAATTATATACACTGATTCTTTCACTTCATATTTCAGATCATTTAAATTTTAAAGAATCACATATTTCCAAGGATTAAAAATACCAAGAAGACAGAAAGGTAGAAGATAAAATAGAATCAATTTTTTTTTCTGTTTTATAAAGAACTTCATATAATTTAGTGCTGTGCAAGCTCCCAAATTACTAGCACTCCCTAATTCACCTAGCCATTTCCTCATTGATGAACATCCAGTTTGCCCCCCAAGTTTTAGCATTTTAAGTATAACTGATAGACCAGAAAATCATAAATATTTTTGAATATGCTTCTAAATTTGTGGATGTAACATCAAAGAATATGGAATGTTTTAAGGTTTTTGATACATACCAACATTTTTTTTTCCCAAAAATGTTTCCCAAATTAACACTTCCAGCAATAGGATATAAGAGTGTCAGTTTGACCCAGCCTCTGACCATCATCTTAACCTTGATTAGCCAACAAAGCACATTTTTTTGGTTTCCCATCATATTATTCCCATCATGTGTCAATATGTAGCTGTGATCTGAGCCAACCGCATTTTATAAGCATGATTAGAAGCCATTGCTTGACTCTCAAGTCTGCTCTCCTGTTAGATAAAAATGCTGAAAGGAAACTTGGATGATTGAATGTTTTTATGATCAATGTCCCCTTTCCCCAAATGTAGATTACATTCACTCTATCATTGTCTATTGGGGAATGAAGTTGAAGTTATTGGCTCTGATAAAAAAGGAGTAGCAGGCTATATCATACTTTCATATTAAATACTGATAAATGAAGAAAAGCATTTTGGGGTCTAAATTATCTAGACCATTACTTTAATTTTACTCTCTCTGACATACGATGAGACTGTCTAGCTGCAAATAAATAGTACCTCCTACTGCCTTTCTTTGATTGCCAATAATATCCTAACCATGCTTTTTCTAAGACAGTGAAATATTCCCATGTGTCCTAAACATGAATAAAATATCTTTGATGGACCTAATTTACTTGCAATTCTCATTCAGCAATAGCTTTATCAGCATTTTGTCTTGAAAACTCTTCTCAACTTTTATACTTCTGGCTTTGTAAGGACTAAAAGCTCACAATGTAAAACTTTAAATTTAAAAGCTATAGAAGTACCCTACAATTTGTTTATCTAACTTGGAGTTTTCATTTCAATGGGTCTTTGTTATCAATACAAGACTTACCTAAGGAAGAGATCATATCGAATATCATCATTTGGGTTCCCTGATGGTGTTGTGTAGCAATAATCCATTAAGACATTCCATCTACAGAAAGAAGTAAGCATAATCATGATTCAGAATTTCCTTTTGGGTATTAGTTACTAATACAAGGGAAGTAAATATTGACAAATATCTTACCCCCACAGGATAAAATTATAGTCTTATTAGTTATTTCAGAGGCTTTTTGTTTTAGAATATTCTCCTAAGCTCGAGGTGTTTAAAAATATCCAGCAAATTGCCAACCCACATTAAGTGGGTTTAAGGCTAATATCACACATACACACACAAAAGTTGTGTACAAGACAGCTGTTCAAAGTCTGGAGAAACAGAAGCCAAAAGTGAGCTACAGAGATGCTTGTATGTTCTCTCTGAACAATAGCCTTTTGTTTCCAGAAGTTACTATCTTTAACAAATGACAGAAGATATTATAATACCACATACAGCAAGGAGTTTGGTGCATAAATTATACACTGAAAATTATGCCAGAATCAGTGGTGGTGAGAGTGGGAGTCCATGACAGACAGTTTTAGGTAAAAGAAAACCACGAGGCAAATACACAGCCTTCCTCCACAAGGCCATACTGTGCCTAGATTTATACATTATTTCATTCCCACTCTGGTGTTATAAAAATGACTAGTCTATGGGAAGTAAATGCCAATAATTCTTTTTAATTCCTGCATTTGATAAGATAATTTTAAAGAATCATATATATCCAAGAAAAACAATACTAAGAAAGAAAGGGAGAAGGTAAAGAAAAACTAAATTTCCAGAGTATACTGGAGAATATTCTTCAGGATGCCAAGTTTATGTAATAATATGTTATTGGATCTTTATAATAATATTGGATTGGATCTTCAGCTTTTGAATTCCCTTTCAATTTTGATCATTCTGGATTGTCTAAAACATGGTCATAAGAAACTCAATCATATGAAACTTGATTGACTTGGGGTTTCTTATGGAGATGTTTCTGAGGATCATATTATATAATTTTGGCCCAGATCATTATGGGGAGAGTTCTTTGTGTTGTTTTTTTTAAATACATTTGTATTGAATAGTAACATACACATAGAAAAGTGCACAAATCATGCAGTCACAAAATGACTGCATCTGATTCATCGTCTTTCAGATGAAAGACTAGAACATTGTGGTATCCCAGAAGATCTGCTCATTCCCTCTTCCAGTAATTCTCCCTCCTTCTTTATGGGAAGACTTCTTATTTTCCAATTAATGACACAAAATAAGTGTCACCCTTTAATCTTTGTAATTTATTATTTCTATTTATTAGCATTCCTAAATGGTGTGGCAATGACAGTATTTTTTAAATTAAAAATGAATGAGCTAACTTTATGATTCATTAGGCTTTATGTGGTCAAAATGTTTTAACCAACAGAAAAAAAGAAAAGAGTTTGAAAATACCTGCCATCCAGATTAGTGGCTTGTACAGCTGCAAATACTTTGGTTTTCAAAGGTAATCCTATACTTGGGATAATTAACTGCTGGCTGTAGGTTGAATCCTAATGATGAAAAAAAATGAGCAATTAATCTGTCATTGTCTTCCAAACAGCACATTTGCCACTTAAAACAATAATGTCATATAAAAAGGGAGAGAATCAACATAAATATACAGAATCAACCCCAAAAAGATCCAGTTAATCCTTTAGTTTCTCAGCAGAACTGTTCTTAAACCATATCCAAGTAACAAATTCATTTCCATGCATAAATCTTTTTGTTTCCATAGTTTATCATATATAATAGTTAATGTTCTGTGTATTTAAATTGCATTCAATGGTTGATAGTCAGTGATTAATACTTAATTTGTTTAATAATCAATTGTCAACATAGAGTTCATTTAAATTAATACTTCATTTATTTAAATTACATTACTGGCTTATGCTCAGTTTCTTTAAATTACATCTACTTCAGTTTAAGCCCTTTCCATTAGGGTTTTGGTCTTTATGCTCTTGATAATGTGTCATTTGCCCAAAATCACTTATCTGGCAATTTGAAAATACCAAAATGTTTTTGAAAACCTAAAAAGAGACCAACATGTCCTGTAAGTTGCCAAAATGCATGCCACGGAGTTCCTTCACCTAATTCCTTGGCAGTTACTTACAGAAGGGTGTCTCAGGATTTCACTTCTACCTTTCTACCATTATTTTATAAAAAATTTCAAGAGCTTATTTATATTACTCCCCAATTTACAGTATTAAAGTAATAGGTTAGAAATTAAGAAGTGACAGTTTAATGACAAAAATTGTAGGATGCAAAAAAAAAACAAGAAGAAAAGAAAAGAATTTCTAAAAATGTAAGCTGTCAAATAATTTAGCATGCAAGCAAATTGTTTCCTCCAAATTTAGTAACCCTGAAGACAATGATATTTTGCGGCAAAGGAAAAATGTTAATGTTCATTATGAAATTTCAAAGACATCAAGCAAAGGCAAAATACAGAGCATATTCTGTCCAAGAAGGACAGGAAGAAAGTGACAGATTTTGAATTTTTGAACATATAAATTTTTAAAATTATTGTTTGGACACTTTACTTTTGAAAAAGTTGTACTTGTATGGAACATTTCATTCCCAAATAAAATCATATAAATGAGGGATTATATGCTGTACTTATTTTCTCTATTTCTGTGGTAAATGATAATAGCTCCTCCAACCATTTCTAATAGGTAGTATTTTTATTTATCTTTCCGGCTCCCTTTGCAAACTTCTCCAAGTATTCCACACTTCATTAAGTATACAGATCTGATTCTTGCATCAACAGGGTATTAGCAGGGGCCAGAAGAATGTTTGTTTATTTACAAATATCATACTGCTAAGTCATTTGCAAATGGTGGGACTCAGCTGTGGTTTAACCATGAATCATCACATTTTTTCCTCCTAAAGTTGCTTCTAAGGGTACTTTTTCCTCCTTTGTTTTTATAGTTGCTTTTTTATTCTTGTTAGTATAATATTGTCCCTAAAGTCATTTATATTTATTTTATATTTTTTTCTTCAACTATTAAGAAACATTCATAGTTAATGTAGTACTATTTCAGATTTACTCTTTCTGTATTTTCTCAGAAGACACTAATATTTAGGTACAATTCAAATGCACAAAGTCATCTTCACTTTCCATTTCCACAGTGGAGAAAACCTATATATTTATATTACACATAAATAAGGCCACAGTTCAACTTGAAATAATCCACATATATGGAAATGGCATAGTCAATAAAAGTTATCTTTTTTTATAAATAAAATTTTCCTAAGTATATTTACTGACTTTCAGAATACTTAAACAATTGCATGAAACCAGACTAGGCACAACTTTTCGTTTCCAAAGAATGAGAGTAGTAGGTATATAACTCTTCATGCTTTTCATAACTTTTCATAACCCATTACTATGGGTTAAAAATCAAAAACTCTGCATGTAAAATAGGAGGATATGGCCACTAATGGTTATAAAATAATACTCATTTTGAAATGCTATAATGAAATTATATATGGATAGCTAAATGTTAGTGTTCCAAACAAATAATAAGTATGATTTTGGATCAATTAGTGAAAGGAAATCAATTTTTTTCTAGTGTAAATTACTAGGTTTTTTTTCCTTGTTATTACAATACAATTGACTATATTCCCTAGACTTTGCTTTTCACCTTTGTGACTTATTTATTTTAAAGCTGGAAGCTTGCCTAAATTACTAGTTTGGTAATATCCTGTATCATGACAAAATATTTCATCCATGCCATGTTAAAAAAGTAGTTTAGGGCCGTGAAACTCTTCTGTGTGATACAGTAACGATGGATCCAAGTCATCAGCATTTGCTAAAATCTACAAAATATACATGAAGTGTGAAACCAAATATAAGCTATGGACTTCAGTTAATATATCAATATGAGCTCATCAATTGTAATGAATAGACCCCAAAATTCAAGGTGTAAGTAATAGAGGAAATTGTGTATAAGCACAGGAGGTCTGTGGGATCTCTGTATTTTCAGATCAGTTTTTCTGTACACCTAAAACTGCTCTAAAAATTGTCTGTTAATTAAAAAAATACTTCGTGGAGAAATGGCCAAATTTCATTATATAATTATTTAGTAAATAACTTTTAAAATTCAATTTAATTTTTTAATTCAACCATTAGTGACACCTGTATTGCAAACTGGTTAAAAATGAGATGCATTTATTCTGTTTTCTGAATTCCATTTTTTAAAAGATTTTATTTATTTGAGAGAGAGCAATAGCAAGTGAGAACAGGGTGGGGAGGGGAGGTAGGGAACGTGAAGAGGGAGAAGCAGGCTGTATGAATAGCCAGCGAGGTAGCATCATGCCCTGAGCCAAAAGCAGATGCTTAACCAACTGAGCCACTCAGGCATTCCCTAAATTACATTTTTAGACTCTGTTCCCATCAGAGCTCTCAGGATGTTGCGTCTTGTGAAATAAAAAGCATGACACATCAAAAAAAAAAAGGGATGTGTTTTGACACTATCTGTTTTACTTATAGTCTGATATCAAACAATTGGTTACCTTTTTACCACAGAATTTAAACCTTAAGGTTATCACCAAATTATAGGCTTTCATTTAGCATTAAAATTCTAGAAAGTTTTGAAGGATTATATCTAGTTAGCAACAGGAGATTACTATTTCTAATGATAAAGAAAAGACCCTCACAGCAAAGCTCTCCCCAAATCCACACTTCTAAATTTTTATTTTCTGCTTTACCAGTAATAGAATAGTTTAATTTCACAAAAAAATAATGGTGTCATTAAACACCATGTGGATAATTTTTGTTTTTTACTTTTTTTAGGATCAGGAAGTTTCATCTTTGTTTCACTCAAATATAACAAGTAATACTGAATCCAAACCAGTCACCTCAATTCTACCCCAGGGAACTTACACATATAAATCAACAGATAGGAATTTTCCAGTTTAAAAAATACTGCTCAAAACAAAAATAAATATCTGGCCATATTGGGAATGAATATTGGCACATATTTGCTGAGTACTGTGGAACCAAGTAACTTGGCAGTTTCTCCTTGGAGAGGGAAGTTTGGAAATGACAGAAAGGCAATCTTCATTCCAACACATTTTAATTTGTTGTTTAGAACTCAGTGGTGTCAGACTACAAACTTATAAACATGATTTTTTTAAATGCCTTTGGAAAATGTCCTACTACAATATTTATAGCTCATTATATTCAAAGTATAAAGCACTGACTTTTAAATCAGTTGCATGAATTATAACTCAGTGCCATGATGACATGAATAATAATGTAAAAATCAGATTCATAATTTACAAAAATGTTGGTTGATAGATTGAAAAATTGATATTTAAATCAGGCATTTAAAATGTATGAATAAAAATTTTTAATCAACATGAAAATATCATTTGGGGGATTAATGTTAGAGTTATAAATAGAAATCCATGTATTTTTCACATTTTGCTGCCACTGTCTATATTTACATGACAAGAGTTTAGACAATACTATGTAGTCAACCCAAGTTATTTCAAATGTGACAGAATTGCCATCAGCCAAATCCCATACTGAAAATATTAACACATTCATCACCAGGAAAAATATCACTTGGATTTTTCCTCTCTTTTTATCATAATAATATTACTTTCAAAATCTTGACCCTGACTACGGCTACACGCACAGGCACACAAATAAATACATACATATAAATATAGATAGACACTTGAAGCAACTATGTAAAATCACATTTACAAAATAAAATCTAAGTCATTTATCAACTTTTAGAAAGTAATGCAGTTTTTAGTATACCTTTATCACTAAGCTATACAAAAACTCTAGTAAAGATGAATAAATGCTACCAAAGTAAAACAGGGTTAATGTAGCTTTTGTAGATTTTGATATAAAACCCATCCGCATAAATGGCTCCTCAGAACAGTGAGAGGGAACATAACATCCTTCACCCAACAACTTACATTATAAAGGAGCAGGTTCAAAGTGCTGACAAATGTACCATTGTTCTCTCTCACAGAAATAGCAGCTGAGGACCTAAAACAGATTTAGAGAAAGGAAAGCACTGATGAGTTTTTAAATTAAAAGGTTCAGTTATACATTAATGTTGGATTTAAGGCTCAAACTCTTGAGTAAGCGTGACATACTTTTAACTAGGCCTGGAGTAGGTACACTATTTAAATCACTGAACAGATAAATAATCAAAAAGCCAGAGAGACCAAATAAAGACAGACTGTTCTTTATGATCTTTTTATTTACAAAGGCATCTTTGCATTTTGCATTGCATATATGGGACTTTTTAAAGAAAAATGTCATTCCAGTATAACTTGAATCTGATACAAACACATTTTCATCAATCCCTGGAGAAGTTTCATGAGATCAGGGATTTTGTTTTACTTTGTTCACTGCTAGAACACTGCATGGCACATGGTAGAAGTGTAATAAATATTTATTGAATGAATGAATGACTTTCCAGGCACACTGCACACTTGGGAATGTGTTTACTGGGGAAGAACAGGGGAGCAGATTAAGTCTATGACACCCTAATGACTCACTTCCCTCTACACCTGTATTGTTTTGACTCAAAGCCTTTCTTTTCTTGTTTTTCCAAGTCTTGCTTTTCACCAAGTTATTTGTCATCGTTGTGCCACTAAAACCAGCTGTGATCATTTTTTTTAAATGAAAAAGAATGTGACCTCCACACTCCCTCATGACTAAGATTAAACAATCACTACACCTTTGTGAAAGCCAACGCTAGATCTGAGGAGAGAAGGTTTTCACTCAATTATCCCATTTTGCCAAAGTTTTGACAAATCTGACAAATCCAGGGGGCAATGCAGTATTGTGAACACAACCTTGTCTTGGAGTATGTACTTTGGGAAAAATGAATGAATGCATGACTATAAGCAAAAGGCTATGAGCTCCATCCACATCTGAAGCCCTCTGGCTCTGAGTGATATTACCTCTCTTTGGGAGCCATCGGCACCTGTGCAGCTGACACCCCAGCAAGAGCATGCAGTCTCACATTCTGAGGCAGGAGAGTTCAACAGTGAGAGCTTATGGCAGAGACTGAAGCCAGGCAAGACCCAACATGCAGTAACTGTTCTACATCCCAGAAACAGGACAGTCCTCTTGGACTGCATCAGCATCCAGAGTTCTTAGCTGCTTGGATGATTCTGAAGGGCATGAGGAGAACCCCCAGGCAGACATCTGGCCAGTTTGAGCCAGTTTTAATTTGGGGAGAAATAGATATATTTGATCTGTTGATATGGGTCATAGCAAGGTCAGATAGATAGACAGAATGTGAAAACAGGGATAGACTGTGAACTTACGAGGCAAGCTGGGTATTATTAACCAGGTACTCCAGTGGGTAACTACAGCTAAATTTGTAGAGAAGCCCAGGTAGATAGCTGATGATTGTTGGTGGGTCTGGAGTATCAATGTATCCCGAAATATTTCCTATTTGTACTGAAGTTGCATTTCCATAAGCACTAACTCCTGGAATTGTGGATACCTATTAAAACAGTAGATCAAGTTTAATGATTAAATAGCTATATGTAAATCTAGGCATTTCATCTGCAAAATAAAACATTAGATCAGATCATTCCTAGGGTCTGTTTCAACTACAACATGCCATGGTTTTGAGATTATATACACAAAATGCTATTTATAAATGATTATATATGTCTTTTAACTAAAGGAAACTCCATATTCACCAAAGACACTTTATTCATATTTCACAAATAAGAAAGGAGAGAGATTACATGTCCAGAAGGCTACAGCAAGTAATTCGAAAATGTTCATGAGTAAGGTCCAAATTCTGTGGCCTGCCTTAAAAAATCCCTGTTAATCTGATATTGTTTTCCACTTTGGTTTCATGTCTCCAGACTTAAACTCTTGGCTAATAATGTCCCAGCCACTGGAACACTTGGGTGGCTCAGTCAGTTAAGCATCTGCCTTGGGCTCAGGTCATGATTCCATGGTCCCAGGATCAAGTTCCCCAGTGGACTTCTTTGTCAGTGGGAAATCTGCTTCTCCCTCTGCCTGCAACAACCTCTGTTTATGATCTCTCTCTAACAAATAAATAAAATCTTTTAAAATAATAGTAATAAAAATAACACCCTAGCCATACATGCTCCCTCTGCCTTCTTCTCCCTCACTTCACCATGATGTATCCTGCTTCCCCCCTAGATCTCATCTTCCCTAAGAAAGTTCCTGACCTCCCTGTAGGTGGTGCTTATCTCCATCACAGGAGCAACCACGGTGCGTGAACTGGCAGTCCCCTTCACCGAATCAGAACCCTTTGTGGGGGTCCTCTTAGTCTTGTTTGCCTTCGCGTGGTCAGCATCACACAATGACACCAGCATCTTGGGGCCCCGGAGATGAATTCTGAACAAATGAATTAAGGTCACAAATTTTCTGAGGGTCAATCTATGGGCCTTCATCTGTAGTACATACATGGAGACTCTCATCTCTTTCCAGGGGAACCATTCATAGATGGGTTTCAGGGGGATCATGAACTCCCAAAAGTTATATTAAAATATTGTCCATATGCATATTTTCCTGGGACTGATTAGCTTTCATTGGATTCTTCAATCCCACTAAAATGTAAGAACCACCATTTTAGGAATAATCAATAATGTTCTTGACTTTTGTAACACCTTAGAGCAATACAGCTTCTCCCATTATGTCAAAGACAGTATGACACTCATGAATACTTTTAGCAGATATTATGGAACCTGTAATACTTACTTGTCAACAATAGAATAAACCTTCTGCATGAACTTAGAAGTACATGGGCAAACCCAAGGCAATCATCAAGCTGATTCATGAACAGAGCCAGAATCATTGTAAATGAAAACTTTTTTTTTTTTAATTCTAATTCAGTGATGTAATAGTCTACTTAATTTTTCCCATGTAGGATTGTCATTGGAACAGACCCCAAAGCTGGTGACATCCAGAGCAAAAATGAAAAAATAAGCAAATCTTCCCCTCCTCTCACACCTTCCTGACTGGCTAACTAAACATACAAATTCTGTGAAAACAAAACAAACAACACACACACACATACGTAGTAATTTTTATACCCAAGTTATTCAGCTTTTAAAAAAGGTAAATAGCACATGTGCATACCAACGTGCACACATAAGTATGTTCACACATACACACACACACATACACACACACACACACACACACACCCAGATGATTTGCCTGGCATTTCTCTTGAACTATTTTCTTGGCAGCTTGGCAAGACTTAAATCCAGAGAAGAAAGCAGCCTGAAGGAGAGACCCCAGGATATGGTGGGAGGAGGGAGACCTTGGCTCTCCGTGTGGGCTCCTCCCTCCGCAAGGAAACACAGACATGCAATAATCAGCCTGCTTCACTCTCTCTCAGGCCCATCTCATAACCTCTCTGTGCACAACTCAGAGAGATGAATAAATGTTTTTAATAAAAAGAGTCAACAATACTCACGGTGCAGGCACAATACTCTAACTGGCCTCCGAGAGAAGATGAGGAAGGAGATCAAAGAAATCCCTTTCCTATCTCCCATCTCCCATCAATTCTTAGAAAACCTGCCCTTAGAGAAATTAAGCCTTCCCCTTTAATCCCAAACAATAATTTATGAAGAGGAAAAGCCAGTTTCTCCTCATACACTGGGCTAAGTGGTCATGCTCACTGTATCTCCTTTTTGTCTGTGCTAGGATTTAACAATAAGATTATATTTAACCAAGCAAAATGAAAAATAATATTCAATGAATTTCAGTGTAACACCCCTCAAATCATAATATTTATACTTCGATTAATTTTAATTCCTGGGAGTATCAATTCCTCACTCAGTTTCTTTTCTTTTTCCTTTTCTTTTCTTTTCTTTCTTTCTTTTTATTTATTTATTTATTTATTTATTTATTGGTGTTTAGTGCAAGTACAAATAAATGAATAGCATAGACTAGTGGTTCTCATTCAGGGTGGGAATATTTGAAGCAGTTTTTTGATTTTTACAATGATTAGAGAGATTTCTTTTTTTGAACAATATAGTGGGATTTCATGAGTAAGATTGGATATGAAAAACGTTTGGAAATTCAAAGAACAGTCCCACACGATGAAGAATATCCCACTGAAAATGCTGACAGTCCTCTTCCACTAATACTGCTGTAGATAGTCCCATGGTAAACATGGACCTAGAAGATTCTGAGTTTCCCATTCTGTATTTCATCTTTCTTTCTGAATAAGGTCACTAGAAGCAAGGGGCCAAGAGACTCATTGCCAAACTCACCAGAACAAACAATTTTTGTATAAGATAGTTCCATAAAAATGCACGAAAAGCATAGCTAATAATAAAATGTAGGGAAATATTCATCAATGTCACTCGCACAAATAATGTTGTTTAGAACAGCACAGCTGATCTCACACCCCTCAACTTTCACCAACAATAAACAGAACCATTACTGGGAAATAAAATTGTATGTCTGAAGCCTCAAACAGGCAAAGGAAGTGATTTGTTTAGTTTTATTGGAAATTTTTTCTTGAAAGATAGATTGGTCTTCTGATTATTTCATGAAATGGGGAGACTTTTTGTCGTGATCCCAAACCTAGCACATAATTTCACACTTGTCTTACCACTAAGTTGTTTCCACAGCCCTCCAAGGTGCTAAGATTGATGATGAAAATGACGACTGCAGGAAAGGTGTTGTTATTGATGAACCCTCTACAGTGGGAGTCCCCATGCCTTCCATTCAGGGCCAGATCAGTTTCAGAATAACCCGAGAAAAGTACAGTGCAAAAATTAATCTTCATTGTAATGGTTTGCACCCCACAGTAGACATTGATGTCTCTTTCAGCTGAAATAAAAATATATAAAAAGTAAACAGTCACAAAAGCACAGTACAGGGTACAAGAATAACTTTAACCTCCTCTAATGTATTTACTCATCCCTTCAGTCTGTTTAACTGATTCCTATAGTTGAATATACCATAATCCAATATGAAAGTTAAGAAAAGTAGCCAGGAAGAATAGTCTTAGATATAGTAATTTAGGAGTTAGAAAATATCTCCGTTGCTTTGTGTCTGGTATACAGTGGATGTGCATTAAATGTCAGTTGAGTATTACAGAATGATTAGAGAATCGAGTAGAAAAAAATCAAGTTAAGAGAAAATTCAAAGCTAGAGTAACTGAATTATTCAGATAGCCTGTCCAGAGTAGTGAGACTCACTACAAATGATGCATCTTTCCAAGTGTAAAGAAGGAGAAGTTAAAATCCATTGTAAGACATATTGCTGAGAGTTTGGGTGTTTTGTAACCCATCTTATCCAGGATGGAGAAACAAAAGCTGTCTGTCAGAATCCCATTTTATTTTGCCTGTATTAAATTACTCTAGAGAGAAAGGAATGAGAACAAATGTGCTGATACTACAAAAAAAAAAAAAATGCATAGCCTGCTCTAAGTAAATTTTGCCAATGACTATGCCAAAATAAAAGGAATGAATGAGACGTGGAAATTTAAAACATAATTATCACAGTTTCCATGACTATTCCATGAGTTATCAGTGAGGGGATCCACTCTAGGTCTACAGAGGTGAGCATAGGCACACACACAAGCTTTTCATATCTCTACCGAGTTACATTTCTTCATATGATGAAGAAAATATATGTAGCAAATGGAGAGGTGGGTTGGGAGGCGATTCCCCAGTGCCAGAAGCTTTTACATTTATTGTTTTTGGTACTGTTTTAAGTTGAATCATGTCCCTCCCCCCATCATAAAAAAGATACACTATAGTCCTAACCCTCAGTCTGTATAACATGATCTTACTTGGAAATTTAGTCATTGTAGATAAAATTAGTTTAGATGAAGTCACACTGAAATAGGGTGGGTCTCTAATCCAAAATGACTGTGTCCTTAAAAAAGGAATGCCATGTGAAGAGATGGACACAGGGAGGATGCCATGTGAAGACACAGAATTGGAGAGATGCATCTATAAGCCAAAGAATGCCAAAGCTTGTTGGCAAACCACCAAAAGATAGGAGGGGCCAAGGAAGGATTCTATCCAGAGTGTCAGAGGGAATGTGGCCCTGCGGACACCTGGATTTTCAACTTCTAGCCTCTAGAACTCCAAGACAATAAATTACTCTTGTTTCAAGTCACCCTTTTGTGGCATTTTGTTATGGCAGCCTTAGGAAATTAATACAATTACTTTACCACTTTCTAACACTCCATTTTACCACTTAAAGTATCCAAAAAAAGCATCAGGTTTTCAAAATGTGGACACAAACAAAGCAAAAACTGACTAAGCTCTTTGGGGAAGTAAACTCAATTTGCTCAAAAAAAGGAAAAACAAGCAAACTAAAATGTATTTTTAGTAAATGAGATGATGTTCACCTTAGTAATACATAAATGTCACTCAAGGTTTTTGGGCATAGTATTATTGGCTTAAATATCTCAAATGTAATCTAAGGGTTAAGTGTTCAACAGCATATTTCTTTGGAGTATTCATTCCCCAGACTGGTTTTTGCTGGAAAAGTGAGTCATATTTTGAGAATGTGAATAAGTAAAAATGAAAATTTCTGTTTGGTTATGATTTTAAACTCATTACAAAAAGAAAGAAAATATTTTTCATGGTTAAAGATGAAGAGAAAGATGGAAAATCTATTTCTTGGCCAAAGGCAAATATTAGACTAGTTATTCTAGAAAACTCCAAGCAATATTCCCTTTGTAGATATAATTCATTATGAAGTATATAGGAAATAATACATACTACTTAAAGTTGGGAAAATATCTCTATTAGCTTTCAGCAACATTAGCTGTTTAAATGCAACCATAACTTTTAAAATAATAAAATAACTTTTACTAAAATAATAGAGTTCATTTTAATAAATGTTTGAGGGTCTACAAACTCCAAATAAGATCTAAAATCTATTGATTATTCTCTATCTACATGCTATTCATTGGCTCATGCCACCAAATCTCTTACCCTAGAGAATTATGTTAGCTTCCTACTTGATTCCTTTATTTCCACACTTAACCTTCTCTAATTAGTATAGCTATTCATACATGAATGCAATAATTTCACCTCTGCTCAGGTCTTCAACCTATCCATTTTACTTGTGCCAGAATTCCAAATCATGAAGCAGGTCCTCAAGACGCTCCATGATCTGCCATCATCTTACCTCTGCATTCACATCGTTCTACCATCCCCCTTGCTCCCTACCTTTGTTTCACTGAACTTTCTTTAGCTCTTTGAAAGCATCACACTGAGTGATGAAAAGCAGAATAGCTGTTACCTCCAGGGGTGGAATTGTCTGGAATAGGGGAAGCAAGGAAAATTTGTGGGATGATAAAAATGTTCTTTGTCTTGATCTGAGTAGTAGTTACACGACTGCATACACCTGTCAAAATCATAAGCTGTACCCTTAAAATCACTACAAATATGTAACATTATTTTATATAAATTATTCCTCAAATGCTATGAGTACTTTGAAAAGCCTAATACATTTTGTACGGGGCCTTTGATCAGTGCTCTTTTCTCTGTTTAGGATGTTCCTCCTCCCCCCAAGTCTTTGTCTGCTTAACTCCTATTCAGTCTTCAGGTCTCAAATTTCTTGTCCTTTCCCCAAAGACTTCCCTAATCCCAAATCTAAATTATGCCACTGCATTATGCTGTCATATTGCCCTAGAATCCTATTGTATTTGTCTAGTTGTCTTCTATATAAACTGAAAGTCCCAGAAAGGAGGAAGCTATAATATTCATTGATGTGAATATTTAATTAAGTAATTAACTACATGAAATATTGGAACACTAGACTGCAAAGAGGATTTACAAAGTAGTGGTACTTGTTCTCCAGCACATCATAGTCCATAAAAGGAGATATATGTGGCCCAGTTTGACAGAAAGATTAGGCAGAGAGCTTTGGGGTAGTACCAAGAATGAACCTTACCCAGATGAGCTAGTTAGGAACAGTTTCTTGGAGAAGATGTCCCTGACCTGAGTTTTGAAGCATCAGTAAATTGGATATTTAAAGGAGTAGAAATTTTATAACACAAAGGGGAGTGTGAATAACAACATAAGTGTGAAATATGTCCAGGCTTGATGGAGAACTGGATGGTTCTGTTTTCAGTTGAATTTAAAATAGAAAGAAGGAAATGGCAGAAAAGGAGGCCAAGTGACACACTGGCAAAATCACAGGAAACCATTTCATAAAAAATGGTCTCTGTAAGTTAACAAAATGTCTTCCTCAATGTCAGATCAAATTCTTAACTACCAGTGAGTTTACTAAGAATTCTTTTTCTGTCCAGTGGAATAAAGAATTGTATCACTGCATTACTTGGAGTATCACAAATTCATCCAAGTGAATACATATCATTAAATATGTTACAAAGGAGAAATATCATTCCCCTTAATTTAAACCAAGACTTCAGCTTCGTCACCTTTGTTTGAGAGGAATTAGTGGATACTTAGAAGAGCTTAATAAATGGCAAAGATTGTTCTGTCCAGATGTAGAGCTCTCTTCAGTTTTCTGCGTTTAACTGAAGACTTGTAACTCCTGAAATGGAACTGAATTTGCTACAAGCTGATCCCACTAGGAGATACGATAACAAGCTAAAGGCTTTTTGCAGTAGAAGAAAAGAGATCTGTTCAAATCCATCCTAACCTAGTTTTCTAAAGACTTTTCACCATCCCTTCTGAGAAACACATTTTTCCCTGGTTATAGATACTAAAGACATCCATTCAGCACAACTTTTCCATTTGTGAGGCTTTGAGGTGGGAGAAAAGATACTTTAAGTTGCCAAAGGGCAATTTCTGCCAAAATAAGAGAAGTTTTCTTTCAGAGTTAATGAGTAACAGTTGCTCTCGACAACTAAATTTCTTCAACGTTTTTATCGTCCAATCTCTGGCCAGAATTGCTATATTCTTTTGAACAACACTTGAGTATTAAACAACCCAATGAGTACAAGTTAAAAACAAGATCAAGGAATAAATACCTTTAGATTTTTTTACTTCTAGTGTTTTATATTTAAAGATACTAAGCATGTTTACGATAGGTCAGCTTACAGATTTTATGTGGGGTTATACTGACAAAATAGCTATTTTGCCCCTGATACTTTAAAGAGTTGTTTACTTATTTAAGAGAGAGAGAGAGAGAGAGAACAGTGGGGAGAGGCACAGGAAAAGGGGAAGAGAGTCGTAAGCAGACTGAGGATTGAGTCTAATGTGGGACTCAATCCCACAACCCCAAGGTCATGACTTCAGCCAAAACCATGAGTCAGATGCCCAACCAAATGCACCACTCCAGTCCCCACCTCTGATATTTTAACCAGGCTAAAGTTTTTCATAAGAATAAAAAAAAAATACAGTATTAAATCAAATTCAGGTAAAAATAAAGAAATGCTCTATACTTCCCTCTCCAATCAATCAGGCCATGAGTTTGTCTCAACTTTCTTAAATTATGCAAATTTTAAATATCCTGTCACACTATCAACCATCTATCTCACCACATAGAGAAAAAAAAGTGTCCAAACTTAGAGTTCTTAGAGTATTATTACCATATAAATGGGAATAAAGAAGGGATGAATCTAATTCTATATATATGAATAAAAATCTCATTCTGTTTCTTCATTCCCAATAAAGTTCAATTCCTAGAACACCTAACTATAATTTCCCTTTAGACACAATTACTGACAATATATTTGCAACATATCATTCATATATCTAACAAGTATATCTAACTTTCTTCTTTTTCCTCAACAATTCCACACTCAACTAGCTTAAATCCAATGGCATCCAGATGAGACTAAAGATCCCCAGCTTTTGATAGACTGACTGATCTTCATCTCATCTCAATACTGT